TATGATACAGGAAGCACCACGTGTTCTGATACAGGAAGCACCACGTACTCTGTGATACAAGAAGAACTAAGGTTGCAGAACTGTTCTGCAATGTTGCAGAACTGCAAACTTTCCATTCCCTGGAGATGGTTCACGACGATGCCAATATCATACATCTTTCAGCCATACACAGCCATACACCCGTGAACCATAAATAGTAGTCAGGCACCTGTGAGCCATACATAGTAGGCATACACCTGTGATTCACACATCTCCTATTAATACATCCTGGAATCCTGGCCGGGGAGGATTGACTGGGCGCCAATCCATAACTGTAGCCTCTGTTTACCCAACAACTGCACAATGACAGCCCCTTTCAAAGCTGGAGATATTGCTGACCTGGAGAGCGTGCAGAGATCCTTTACTGCTGCAATCCACTCAGTAAAACATTTAAACTACTGGGACTGACTAAAATGCCTAAATGTGTATTCTTTTGAGCGCAGGCGGGAGAGATACATAATAATTTACACGTGGAAAAAATAGAGGGGCTGATCCCAAACCTACACACAGAAATAACATCACATGAGACCAAAAGGCATGGTAGGATGTGCAGAATACCCCCGTTGAAGAGCAAAGGTGCAATAGGTACTCTGAGAGAGAACTCTATCAACATCAGAGGCCCGAGACTGTTCAACACGCTTCCACTACACATAAGGGGCATAACTGGCTGACCCCTCACAGTGCTCAAGAGAGAACTTGATAAGTACCTCCAAAGGATACCTGATCAACCAGGCTATGATTCATACGTCAGGCTTCGAGCAGCCGCGTTCAACAGCCTGATTGACCAATCCAACAACGAGGAGGCCTGGTCGAGGACCGGGCCGCGAGGACCCTGGGCCGCGAGGACCCTGGGCCGCGAGGACCCTAAGCCCCGAAATAATCTCAAGGTAACCTCAAGGTAACAGTAAAATGGGTACCTGGTTGTTAAACGATTTGGCAGCGTCGTATTCCGGGGAACATTATGATTAAGGACTTGCCCGAAACGCTAAGCGTGCTAATGGCTGTACAAGAATGTAAGGACTCTTGTATATATGTGAATAAATATATAAATAACAATATAAGCCATGCATTTATAAGCCATATCTGTAAAATAGTAACCATACACCTGAAGCATACACCTGAAACATACACCTGAAGCATACACCTGAAGCATACACCTGAAACATACACCTGAAGCATACACCTGAAACATACACCTGAAGCATACACCTGAAGCATACACCTGAAACATACACCTTAAGCATACACCTGAAACATACACCTGAAACATACACCTGAAACATACACCTTTCAGTTATACACCCGAGTATAAACCTGTGATCCATGAACTGATTAGGGATATAATCAGACTCCGGTACGCTATTAACAATGATTTTCTGTCAGTTCCTCAGACTGATGTACACATATTTGAGGCCATAAAACCTTTTATTACAGATAATTATTTAACTATCAATGTAGGTCTTTGTGCGGTAATCTAAGGTGGAGATGCTATAGCATGACTTTTACAACATTTGTGAAGCCAAGATCGGCGATCACGCCCAAAATGTGGCAATATATGTTTCTAAGGAAAAGGCCACAACAATGCAATTTTCAGCTGAAGGCTCAATTAAGGCCTTTGAAAGTTTGGTAAAGCCCTTGAGACTATCGTAGGTCTTGGTAGCTGTATATACGTCTTTTTGGAGAGCTTCGTAGATATACCACTCAAGTTGTTCTTGTTATAGATTCAGCTACTTGGAACAAGTTCCAAGTAGCTGGAACCCGTGCTAGGGCTCACCATAGCCCTAGCACGGGCTATGGTGAGCCCCCGTAGTGGACTTACCTAGCACAGGAGCGGTGCTGTGTCCCCGTGACCACGCAAGGTCACATGGCATACAAAGAAGGTCAAAAGGTCACGTGAGAATAGTTAGACTGTCAGTCGCTAATTAATTATGCGTCAACGAGCATTTGACGAGTTCAAAAAAATGTTCAACATCTGTGCAAGCCTCATCTGGTGCCTTTGTTTTTTGTTTCTATATTTCCTCTCTCTCGCTCTCTCTCTCTCTCTCTCTCTCTCTCTCTCTCTCTCTCTCTCTCTCTCTCTCCATTTCTCACGTAATTATTATAATGTTTCAAAGTTAACACCAAAAATTTAACAAAAAACAGATCAAAACGTACATAAATGGTCTCGGGGGAACAGTTGGCCAGGAATGGGAAAATCGCCTCTACGGCCCTGTGGTATAGCACACTATTGACTCCCCCCAGGACACTTGCCTGGGGGTGTTTAACAAGCACACATAATGCGGACTAATGACCATTATCTGCGCATGATGATATATTTCGTAAGCTCCATATGTACTGAAATTGCATATGTACGTGCGAACTACAAAGGACTAGTCTTACACACGTACACCGTTCATATAACACACACACACACACACATATATATATATATATATATATATATATATATATATATATATATATATATATATATATATATATATATATATATATATATATATACACTAGCTGTACCCGGCCACGCGTTGCTGAGCCACAGCAACCTTCCCCTGCCTCCCAGTTCTCCCCACCATTTCCTCACTCCCATGTCCCCTCGTCCTCCCCACCACTCCCCCGTCCCTCGTCTTCCCTACCATTCCCCCCTCCCCTGCCCCCCCCCCTCACCTGCCCCCTCCTCAGCCCTAATGTCACACAAAATAATTAAATCAAAATGAAAATAAGTTTAAATCTATGAAAATTTAATGTCAATGCAATCGGAAATACTGAAATGGAATCGTAACATATTTAGTACAGTGTGTGTTGTTCTTACGTGCAACAGATGGCGCCGTTTCTTAAAAAAAGAATGGTTTTACCTATCACAGGTGTGCCATCTATAATTATACTAACACAATGAACGGTATTGTTAACAACACAGTTCAATTCCAACAGAATGTCACACAAAATAATTAAATCAATATGAAAATAAATCGAAATCTATGAAAATTCAATTTAACAATGAAATCGGAAATATTGAAATGGAATCCTAACATATTTAGTATAGCGTGTGTTGCTCTTACGTGCAACTGATGGCGTTAATTTTCAAAAAAAGCTTGTCTTTACCTGTCACAGGTGTTTCATCTATATTGTAGGTATATAAAAATACGTGCGTATTCGAATGGAACGTTGTGTCAAAATTTCAAAGCAATCGGTAAAGAACTTTCGGAGATAACAGCGTGTTTCTCTTACGTCCAACAGACGGCGTTGTTTTTTCTAAAAAAAAACATGTTCTTACCTGTCACAGGTGTGGCATGTATATAATAGTATATAAAAACCCGTGCGTATTCGAATGCAACGTTGTGTCAAAATTTGAAAGCAATCAGTAAAGAGGTTTCGGAGATTTCTCTCACATGAAAGCTCACATGAAAAACGCAGTTTTTCAAAAAAAGCATGCTTTTACCCATCACATACGTGACATAACGAAATGAACGGTATGGTAAACAACGCAGCTCTATTCCAACGCAATGTCACACAAAATAATTAAATTAAAATGAAAATAAATTGAAATCTATGAAAATTCAATTTATCAATGCAATCGGAAACATTGAAACGGAATCGTAACACATTTAGTGTAGCGTGTGTTGCATTTTATGCGCAACAGATGGCGTTGTTTAAAAAAAACAAACATGTTTTTATCTGTCACAGGTGTGGCATCTATATAGTATGTATATAAAAACATGCGAGTATTCGAATTGAACTTTGTATCAAAATGTCAAAGCAATCGGTGAAGAACTTTCGGAGATTAGCGATGTTGAACAAACGAACATTTACATTTTTATTTACATAGATGTTTATGTTTGTTTATCCAAGATGGAGGCCAGACGCCAGGGGCTAGTCTAACGGAACTTTGCATGGTGATTTGTGATTGTATGGGAGTGTCATAGGGTGGTCTGGGTAGGCCTCCCATGCCCGTTATCTTGAGGTTATCTTGAGATGATTTCGGGGCTTTTTTTTAGTGTCCCCCGCGGCCCGGTCCTCGACCAGGCCTCCACCCCCCCAGGAAGCAGCCTGTGACAGCTGACTAACACCCAGGTACCTATTTTACTGCTAGGTAACAGGGGCATAGGGTGAAAGAAACTCTGCCCATTGTTTCTTGCCGGCGCCTGGGATCGACCACAGGATCACAAGTCCAGCGTGCTGTCCGCTCGACCGACCGGCTCCCCTCCCCGTCATGTGAGCTGGTATAGTTTTCTCTTGGTCTTGTAGATGGTAAGCCGCACCTAGGTGCAAGCTAACTGTTGGTGGATGGGGAGTGCCTGATATGAAGTGTAGCTACCATGTCTAATCTTCTATCGTCGTGGAGTATATGTCCACTATTTTGGTAATGCCGGTCAGGTGATTCTTTTTTTTAAGCCTTTAATCGACTTGAGAATGGTCCAGGACGGACCGAAATGTCGTCGTCCCTTCACCTTCTAGTGTGTGGTCTGGTCAACATTCTTCAGCCACGTTATTGTGACTCATCGCGCGCATTTTAAGCCTTTAAGTTTGCTCATCGTCGCCTTGAAAGAGATGATGTTGTCTTGCCAATATATTGAGATCGATGGAGCTGACAGTACCCAAGAAGCCATGTAAAGTCAGGAGGTGTCAGGAGAGCTCTTTATGAGCAAGTTGGCGATCTTCATCTAGTATTTTTAATGAGCCCGATACCAAATGGAACGCCTTGAGAGCGACGAATGTTGTCTATACCTTTACATGTCCAATTGGAGGCTGTCAGGCCAAGGAACTCAATATATTGGCAAGCCCAGAACATCACTTCCAAGGCGCATGACAACGCACTAACAAAATGACTCAATACATCTAAGATCAAATCATTTGTACACATATAAAGACACTCATCTGATCGCCAGCACCATAATAACTGACATTCAGAATAGAAGATACTTTAATAAACCAAATTTAAATCAATAGAAATGCCTAAGTATATTTTAAAAGGTTTCATTAGTGTAAAGTGAGAGGTGCATCGTGTGGGTGTAACGCTTGGATGGCAGGTGGGCGGGCTTGGATGGCAGGTGGGTCGGGCTTGGATGGCAGGTGGGTCGGGCTTGGATGGCAGGTGGGCGGGCTTGGATGGCAGGTGGGTCGGGCTTGGATGGCAGGTGGGTCGGGCTTGGATGGCAGGTGGGTCGGGCTTGGATGGCAGGTGGGTCGGGCTTGGATGGCAGGTGGGCGGGCTTGGATGGCAGGTGGGTCGGGCTTGGATGGCAGGTGGGTCGGGCTTGGATGGCAGGTGGGTCGGGCTTGGATGGCAGGTGGGCGAGCTTGGATGGCAGGTGGGTCGGGCCTGGATGGCAGGTGGGTCGGGCTTGGATGGCAGGTGGGTCGGGCTTGGATGGCAGGTGGGCGGGCTTGGATGGCAGGTGGGCGGGCTTGGATGGCAGGTGGGTCGGGCTTGGATGGCAGGTGGGTCGGGCTTGGATGGCAGGTGGGTCGGGCTTGGATGGCAGGTGGGTCGGGCTTGGATGGCAGATGGGCTGGGCTTGGATGGCAGGTGGGTCGGGCTTGGATGGCAGATGGGCTGGGCTTGGATGGCAGGTGGGTGTTGGATATGGCCGTGGATTACATTTGAGTTGACGTGTGTCTGACATGGATGCAGGACCGAACGTCAGTGTGGATGGGCGTGGGTGTAACATGGGCGTGGTGATGTGGTGTGACATGGGCGTGGTGATGTGGTGTGACATGGGCGTGGTGATGGGGTGTGACATGGGCGTGGTGATGTGGTGTGACATGGGCGTGGTGATGGGGTGTGACATGGGCGTGGTGAAGGGTGTGACACGGGCGTGGTGAAGGGTGTGACATGGGCGTGGTGATAGGGTGTGACATGGTACTAAAATAAGCATTCTGATGTAACCTTCACAGTGTGTCGCACACTCCGTGTCAAACAGCAAATATCTCCGTTATGCACAACGCAATCACCCCAACGTGATTTCAACTGGAAATAACGTGAACATCAATTGAAGCACAATCATTGCTCCCAGTTGATTTTCTCATCGGTATGTGTAACGTTAGTGTGATTTCTTGGTGCTTCTGAAGCTGAAGCTTGATGAACTACTTGACCAACACCAGAGTGCTTTTATGTAAGAAGCCTGGACTGGCTTCAGTAGAAATCTCTAAACTTTCCTGTGGATTCAGGCAGCCCAGATTGCATAACTTATGTCGTGGTACAGTGGTAAGTTGCGCGGTTGGGAGTACCTTGACCGTTGGTTCGAGCCACCTCATTGCTCCGACTGATTTTCTCATCCCCGTCATACCATCGCGGGCAAAGAGGCTGGTTGATGAATTAAGAGGGAAAGCTCGTACGGTAATGTCCGATGAGGACGACAGGTGGGAACAGCAACCACAACAGCTTGCTGGACACAGTGATACTAGAGTTCTCCTCGCGTGTCCAGAGCCCTGATTAACCTGTCCGTGTCCCCAACCCTCCTGATTTGTTTATGGGACGTTTGACATGCATTTTATTTCTCACCTGATTCCCTCCTTCGGGTCTGTAAATCAAGGAGCTTCTCTGGTGTGTGTGTGTGTGTGTGTGTGTGTGTGTGTGTGTGTGTGTGTGTGTGTGTGTGTGTGTGTGTGTGTGTGTGTGTGTGTGTGTGTGTTTGTAGTAAACCCGGATCGGATCCGGCCACGACTGATAAGTTTGCCCCCACGTCGCACACTCAAGCGCTTCAGACAGGTTTATGGAGCCGCTCTGGCGGCAGATGTGTGCAACAACGGTGATTATTTCATAGCTGGGGGAGAGGCTGTGTATCTGCTGGATGAATAGGTCTGGGGGAGAGAGTGGCTCCTGCAGGAAGAAACTTTATAAACTAAGCAACAGCGCGAGGAGGAAGTTTCGTTGCGTCATTGGCATGTTGGGAAGAGATTAATGTTTACACTCGGCGGGAAGACAGTAAGAGGAGGAGAGAAAATAAGAGAATGATCATCAACGTCAGTACAGAGAAGAGAAGTTCAACGGCTAGAGTAGAGATGGGAAGAGGAGCTTAACAACATTAGGGAGAGGAAGAGATTTTCTCAACAATAGTGGGAAAAAAAAGGAGAGGGAGAACCTCTCTCTGCTAGTTTCCTGCTAGTTTCTTGAAGAGTTGGGGTCCAAGCTAATTGAAACAACTAGAGACCCTAGAGCTGCCAGTTTTATCTTTCAGCGCCTTAGTGTGGCGATCCAGAGAGGAAATGCTCACTGCATCCATGGTTCCTGCCCGCCATCTGAGGAGCTGGAGGAGCTCTACAACTTGTCACAAGTAGTCTTGTACCCTGTATGTAACCAATGTTGTAACTCTTTTTGTGTAATGAAATATTCAAATAAAGTTAGATATATATATATACACATACCAAAAGAATAGGGGTGGTAGGAGAAAAAAATATCAACGTGTTCAGTGAGGATCCACAAGATCTTCTCTGAGTACTCTTTATTTTCTTCTCCGAGGCTATGGGTCCCTACATTTGCACCAGAGGTGGTACCCCTTCTAGGTTTTATATATATATATATATATATATATATATATATATATATATATATATATATATATATATATATATGCGGAAAATCCACAGAGAAATATGAAATGAGGTGAACGTTTCGGCTTGTTAAAGCCTTTGTCAACACCAGACTGACTGATGTTTGTGTCAGTCAGTCTGGTGTTGACAAAGGCTTTAACAAGCCGAAACGTTCACCTCATTTCATATTTCTCTGTGGATTTTCCGCATAAAATGATCAGTGTTTTGTGATCGTCAATTGCATATATATATATATATATATATATATATATATATATATATATATATATATATATATATATATATATATATATATATATATATATATATATATATATATATATATACACACACACACACACAGTGGAAAGCAATGTAGTATCCGACAATCACTGCTCTCTCAGAGGGAACCAATGAACTGTTAACCAACAGGACGAGGTGAACCGGTTGTGAGCCGGTTGCTCGTGCAGGTAACGAACCCTGTGTACCGGAGCATAACGTTACCAAACGATGTTTATACTTGCCCGTGGTGCTGAGGAACCTCCTTTCTTGTGAGACGGTGACGGAGCGTGTGTGAAGCGTTGTCTCTCTCTCTTGCATCTCCGTCCGTACAGATGGTGTTGGTCACGAATCAACCGATTCCTTGTTGGTTGATATTGAAGTCACAATACATAGCTTTCGTCTGAGCTCGTGACTTGCTACAAGTGCTGAGATTGTCTATTCTACTGCTGGTCTCTGTGTCTCAGCTATGTCTACTACTGCTGCCCTCTGTGTCTCATCTATGTCTACTACTGCTGCCCTCTGTGTCTCATCTATGTCTACTACTGCTGCCCTCTGTGTCTCAACCATCTTTTCTACCTCCAGAGATGGCCCAACAGAAGGCACCTTAAAATCTTGGAGTTTTCGTGAAGGTCAAGATTTCAGCTTCACTGGACGACACGCGTTCGAGGGAGAAAATAGGAGCAAGTAAGTGACTTTTGATTCATTTTCACCAAGAAAACTTACAACGATTATAGTTTTTTTTCCCCCCCAATTAAAAGTTTGTGGCGGCCTTTCAGAAAGTGGTGAAGGTTTTCCCCAAGTACGTTGATCTCATTAATGTTCTTCTTTTGGCTGTACCTCTTAGCTTTTCAAAAGCTTTCAGTAGGATTGAAGCCGCTAAGGATTCGCAGCTTCCCCCCCCCCAGGCTCTTTTGTTTAGAGAAAGGTAAACAGGAAGTCAAGGTCACGGTGTGAATGGGATTAATAAGGATTTCGGATTCCTTATTGAAGGGTTTTTGGTCTCTGGGAGTGTACATAACGTCTGGGTGACGTGGAACAATTTTTTTTTATGTAAAAATAAGTAGCTTCGTGAATGACCTGTTACTTGTGTTGGTGTAAATGAATAATTTACTTTACTTAAAAGTTTTGAAACTAATCGATTGATTTCTTATATAGCTCATATTACTAAGCTCAAGGGGCTGTCTTGTATATAAAAGAATGAGCTAGGTCTCGTTTGTCTGTGTGTATGTCTGAGGAGCCTGACAGCTGAGTGGACAGCGCTTCGGATTCACAGTCCTGAGGTTCCGGGTTCGATCCCCGGTGGAGGCGGAGACAAATGGGCAAAAAGTTTCTTTCACCCCTGATGCCCCCTTTTCATCTAGCAGTAAATAGGTAGCTAGAGGTTAGACAACTGCTATGGGCTGCTTCCTGTGGGGGGGGGGGGGGTGTAACAAAAAAGGAGGTCTGATCGAGGACCGGGCCGCGAGGACGCTAAGCCCCCGAAATCATCTCAATATAACCTCAAGATATGTCGTGAAGAAATGTATGCACCAAGGTGTAATAACGCGCTTGGAAGGTCGAACGTCAGTTCCCAAGCCCCGTCATTCGGATCATTAGCAGATGAATGACACTACTTAATCCTCTAGTTATTATTTTGTATTTATGTAGTTGTGTAGTTAAGGTGGAGGCCAGACGACTTCGGGCTTGCCTCACCAGACTTTGTAAGGGGGAAGAGAGATTTAAATGCGTTAAGAAACATTAAAGCATATATTTTGACACCCCCCCTCAGGTGATTTTCAAGAAGTCCAGCATGAAATATTGAGCGAGATTCCCATCAGGAGGGCTTTAAGTGATTGACCAAAAGCTCAGTCCTAAATGAGATATAGTGCATAGATTGCAGAGCCTGCGGGTGTGATGTCCCTCTACAGTTATAACTGTGAATGGAGTTTTCCTCCTCACCTTCAGTTCATATGTGTGCGTGCGCGTGAGTGTGTGTGTGTGTGTGTGTGTGTGTGTGTGTGTGTGTGTGTGTGTGTGTGTGTGTGTGTGTGTGTGTGTGTGTGAGTGTGTGTGTACAAACCTAGTTGTGTTTGCGGGGGTTGAGCTCTGGCTCTTTGGTCCCGCCTCTCAACCGTCAATCAATAGGTGTACAGATTCCTGAGCCTATCGGGCTCTATCATATCTACACTTGAAACTGTGTATGGAGTCAGCCTCCACCACATCACTGCCTAATGCATTCCATTTGTCAACCACTCTGACACTAAAAAAGTTCTTTCTAATATCTCTGTGGCTCATTTGGGCACTCAGTTTCCACCTGTGTCCCCTTGTGCGTGTTCCCCTTGTGTTAAATAGACTGTCTTTATCTACCCTATCAATTCCCTTCAGAATCTTGAATGTAGTGATCATGTCCCCCCTAACTCTTCTGTCTTCCAGCGAAGTGAGGTTTAATTCCCGTAGTCTCTCCTCGTAGCTCATACCTCTCAGCTCGGGTACTAGTCTGGTGGCAAACCTTTGAACCTTTTCCAGTTTAGTCTTATCCTTGACTAGATATGGACTCCATGCTGGGGCTGCATACTCCAGGATTGGCCTGACATATGTGGTATACAAAGTTCTGAATGATTCTTTACACAAGTTTCTGAATGCCGTTCGTATGTTGGCCAGCCTGGCATATGCCGCTGATGTTATCCGCTTGATATGTGCTGCAGGAGACAGGTCTGGCGCGATATCAACCCCCAAGTCTTTTTCGTTCTCCGACTCCTGAAGAATTTCCTCTCCCAGATTATACCTTGTATCTGGCCTCCTGCTCCCTACACCTATCTTCATTGCATTACATTTGGTTGGGTTAAACTCTAACAACCATTTGTTCGACCATTCCTTCAGCTTGTCTAGGTCTTCTTGAAGCCTCAAACAGTCCTCTTCTGTTTTAATCCTTCTCATAATTTTAGCATCGTCCGCAAACATTGTGTGTGTGTGTGTGTGCGCGCGTGTGCGTGCGTGTGCGTGCGTTCGTGCGCTATATTGATTAAGAAGGAAGTAGTCTGATCAATGTTTCTGGCACAAATCGTTTCACTATTTCTTATAGGCT